TTTTTTTGAAAATAAAGTTTTTTTTTTGAAGTTTTTTTTTGAAAAGTTTTTAAAAAAAAAATTTTTTTGTGCTTACTTTATTTTTTTATATAAATAATCACAAATTATAAATTCAAGACTCAGTTATACACTGATATCTTCCACTGGCGAGTTAATTTGATGTATGTTTGAATACAATGCTAGCCTCAATCCAATGTATTCCGTACTACAGTCTATAAGACACTAATTTGTTAATTTGACCGCTTATTTGTTAATTTTTCATAATTATTTTTTTTATTAGCTTAAACTACACATTTTTAAGCATCTTTTAAGAATAAAAAATTTTAATTTTAATTACAATTAAAAAAGTTATTAACAATTTAAGTTAATTAATATATACAGTATATGTATTACTATTGCTATACAGTGTGTACATACTATTTCAATACAGTGATGTCATTATATTACATGTATTGTATGCAATAGTTAATGTTAGTTCGGGTAGTTGGTCAGAACGGGTAGTTGGTCAGTTCGGTTAGTTGGTCAGTTCGGGTAGTTGGTCAGTTCGGGTAGTTGGTCAGTTCGGGTAGTTGGTCAGTTCGGGTAGTTGGTCAGTTCGGGTAGTTGGTCAGTTCGGGTAGTTGGTCAGTTCGGGTAGTTGGTCAGTTCGGGTAGTTGGTCAGTTCGGGTAGTTGGTCAGTTATGGGTAGTTGGTCAGTTCGGGTAAGATGGTCAGTTCGGGTAAGTGGTCAGTTCGGGTAGGTTGTCGGTTCGGGTAGGTGGTCAGWTCGGGTAGGTGGTCAGTTCGGGTAGGTGGTCAGATTGGGTAGAGGTAGTAGTGACGTCATTGGTGTACTTCACTTAGGTTAGGTTAGGTGGAGTCACGTGATCACGTGAACCCCCTCTCCGTGACACAGCTATATGGGGGAAAGCACTGTGCTTTCCCTCATGTGAACCCTTAGGTACCAACTACATCAATATTTCTAATTATTTATTTTTAGCGGATTAATTAAAAAACAATAATATTCCTTTTAAAATAATAAATTTTTATTTATTCAGTGATGGTTTATTATATATTTTATTTACTTTAAAAACATAAAAATTAATTTTTACATTAATATAATATACCTGTATTAGGAATCCTAATTTATGATACTATATATTTTATAAAATTAAAAGTAAAAAAAATTATTTCATTTAATATAATAATAAATCCTATAAAAATGTTTATATAATATTTGTTATTATTAGTTAAATTTCTTATAATAGATAACCTGAATTTTATTATTTATAAACTCATTATAATTGAATATTAAATTAACTATATTTGTATTCAAGTTATAATGTATTTCTGTTTAGTTTATTGACAAAATAATTATATCATAAAAATAAATAATTTAATATAATAGATAATAAATTTCAAATTATATTAATTACAAACAAAATAAATTAAATATTTCATTATTCATATTAATGTTTTAACATACAGTACTATTAAAAAAATAAAAAAAAGATTATTTTTACTTAATATTATTATTAACATAAGTTACAGTGATTTTTCGCAATAAATCGCATTAATAGATTATACCAGTAATATTAATTGTGAAATATATTTAATATTACCAATATAATTTAGCAATCTTTATTATTGAAATACTATTTTATTAATAGTTTAAATATTTTTAATATAGACATATATCATAATTATATGTCTATAACTTAAAGTTTCAAAAGTAAATATAAATATTGTATATTGTTATTATTAAAATAAATCATTGTCATAAAAAAATAAATAATTTTTTTTATTGGATTTCTATAGAAAATAAAATTCAATAAAATAAAATGCGATAAAATATAGATTTATTAGAATAACAACAACACATGTTAAAAATACTTTTATAATTATTATGCACTGAATAATATCATGTTTATTATTATTATTATTATAAAGTTTTTATAAACTAATGTTATAATTTACTTTTCATAAACATCTATTATATTAATAATAATAATAATAATAATAATAATAATAGTATAATCATAATAATAATCAATAATACATAAATTTATATTATAAGTATTTTTAATATTTAATTATATAATTTATTTTTTGCTATACTGTAAATTAAATACTGTATTCAATTCAATAGTAAATTACTATTAGATTTATTTGAGAAAAAAAATTATTGCACTGTTGTTATAAAAAAATTATGGCAAAATTAATTGAAAAATTAACCATGTTTAATTATTGTGGACATTTATTAAATATTGCTTGCATTAGCAAAATTATATGTTTTATTGTATGCCTATTGGGATGTTTGTATCAAACCTATAAAATTAGTTATATTTATTTGAGTCGCGAAACAATTACTAACGTGAGATACGAGCGAACCGACAAAATAGCATTTCCAGGTATAACCGTATGTTTGCCAAAATTGTACGCAATGTACGAATTATATGATAAATATTATAACCTAGATGAATTGATTAAATTTACAAGTCAATACTCATTTTATATGAGCTTGGTCCGAAAAATTAATCACCATTTTACTATCAGGGAACAGCTGGATAGACTAGTTGAGCCAGGTAGTATATTCAATTGTTCGACAATCCTAGGTAGTAACAATATTAGCAATGTTATACCATGCCAAATTATTGCCCAATATCAAATATCTATTGATCGTGAATTTGTTTGCTATACACAATTTTCTAAATGGCAAAATTGGCTTGATGATAATGTAAATGAATTGAACATGGATGATTTTAGCGAAACACGACCAAAATTTATGGTAAAATATTGGGTATCCAATAGTTTTTGGCAACGTTTGCACACAAATAAAATAAAATTTATTAATTTACGCTTACATTTGCATCCACAACGTGAACGTATCTATAAAGCCGATAGACATGGTGTTACAAATCAGAAACTTGGATCACAAACATTATGCGAAGTGTCCTATAAGGAGACAGTCGTACGGTATATGTTTGGCAACGATAACAATCAATGTCTATATCGGCAAACAATGGATGAGTGTGTTATCGGCTGTAAAATCGATGCATACGTTAGACATTATTCAAGATATTCAATACAATTTTTATATTACAAAAACAGTAGTCGTTATGATAGCAATTATTTTGAGACAACAATCAATAATAGTATTAGTAATGGATGTGAATATAAGTGTAAATTAAAATTAAATTGTATTCAATATTACTATTCAATGTATGCTATCAAAGGTCCGGCCACTCAATTGCAACTCGAGTTAGAGTTTCCGTCGGAACCGATGACAATATACGAGATTTCGTTGAAAATGTCTGCCGAAGAATATCTTTGTCTATTGGGAAGTGTTTTAAGTCTATGGTTTGGTTTTACTGTCTTAACTTTCAGCGATTTTGCCATTAATTTGTTGTATCGTTTTATATCAAAACTATTTCTAAACAAAAAGAAATATAATAATAATATTATTTATAATACTAATAATTATCATTTTAATAATAACATGTTTGTTAAAGTTATTAATAAACCTAATTATAATAGTAGATATAATTCTATAACTAATAATTTAATTTATAAATAAATTATAAATATTATAATAGCTATAATATTAATATCAATGTGATATCTTAAAAAACAATAATTATATGAATTTATATAACAAATAAATATTAAACTAATTTATCAATTCATGCTAATATTATATCTAAAATTTTTACAATTTCTAATAATATGATTTTAAAAGTAATTAATTATTATTGTTATATTTTTAAAAAATAGTTTTAATAATTTTTATAAATAATAAAAATAATTCATACAAAATATAAAATAATAATTTAGTATCAATTGATTTTGTATAACTGTATGTAAAATAATAAATAAATTTTTATTATTTTTTTTTTAAATAATAAAATATGAATTATAATTTATAACAATTATTTTATTAAAAATTTATTGCAAACAATGGGTGCAATTATTTAGATATACACTGTTCTTTAAGGACAAAGTTTATTGAAAAAAATCAATACAATATCAATGAAGTTTCACTAAATAATATTTAAATTTATTTTACTAAATATAAAAAAATATTTTTTTTAAAAAAGAATTATTAATATGTATTTATTTCTACTAATATTATTAGATTATAAAATAACTATTTGTTATTTAGATTAATTTAATAATAATTAATTAAAATCTTAAAATTAAAATGTAAAATCGATTTTTATTGGTTGTAAAGTATATGTGAATGTGTAAGACATATATGATTGCATCAATGTTTTAATAAAGCTTACAATTAACTAACACAACAATAAGTGATTGCATTTGTTTAACATATAAAAGCATTGATCGATTGATTGACACAACACTATACTGTTTAGTAGGGGTCTAGTTCATAAGATCTAAACTCATTTGATCTAAACTTATTTGACCCAACTCATTTGACCCAAACTCATTTGACCCAAATCACTTGACCCAAACTTATTTGACCCAACTCATTTGACCCAAATCACTTGACCCAACTCATTTGACCCAACTCATTTGACCCAAATCACTTTACCCAAATCATTTGACCCAAACTTATTTAACCCAAATATTTATTATTTTATTTTTCAAACTATATAATTATATATAAATAATACAAACTTAATAATTGGAAATATTTCTGTTTTTTTATTTTTTTTTAAATAAATATGTAATAACTTAATATTATTAAGTTCTAAATTATTTTATAGATTAAATAGATTATTATATTATTTATATAATTAATTAAATAAAATTATTAAGTTTTATATTATTTATATATAATTATAGTTTGAAAAAATAAAATAATAAATATTTGGGTCAAATAAGTTTGGGTTAAATGATTTAGATCAAGTGATTTGGGTCAAATGAGTTGGGTCAAATGATTTGTGTCAAATGATTTGGGTCAAGTGATTTGGGTCAAATAAGTTTGGGTCAAGTGATTTGTGTCAAATAAGTTTGGATCAAATGAGTTGGGTCAAGTAAGTTTGGGTCAAATGAGTTTAGATCTTATGAGTGCGACCGGTTTAGTAGTAATAGTATTGTTTGGTATACATTGTATTGCCATACGATTGGACACAACAACAACTATCACCACAAACACATCACTCAAGACATTCAATACAATTATCATCGACAGAGACGACGACAACAACAACAATGTCTTGTGTCGCTTGTATAGTAAAATTGTGTGAATATTACTGTGAGATATCACCCGAATTGGTCGACGCCGACTACAATACATCCAATAACAGACGATACAAGTATTGTCGACACACATGTCTTATCAATCCGATTGATATATTCAAAGAAATTGTCGACAATTATGACATTAATAGAAAGGATATTCAGTTACAGTTAGGCAGCGCTTCCAATGAAGTCAAAAAGTGGTACAATTTTATCAGTTTTGGTGATTATACTGATGAAGACAAACAGAAAAATCTGATTCGCTTTCAAATGCGTGCAAATTATGTGACCGTAAGTGTATCGTTGGCCGCACTCTCACCGCACACTTGCGATAAACTCATGAAGTTTAGGATAAATACGGCACAAATACTAACTATTGAACAATTGAAACAAAAGTTGGCCATTGAGTACATGTTTGCCGCCGAATCGGTTTCATTGTATTTGTCCGATACTAACAAACATTTTACTAATCGTCAGCTCTTGGATGATATGGCCGTCAAAAATGCCTGGTTTTACCCACACTTTAATCGCAGTGTTATTCATATTATACCCAACTGTGGCGTCAAATAAATAACTAAATTTATCAGTCAATCAAAGTATGATATCAATTGATAGATTTATTTAATTTATTTGATAATCAATTTTTTTATTTTGTTTTTTCAGTCATAAAATTCTTTCAATGTTCAGTACTCTGTCGATAACTAATGAAGAATGTATGGCTAAACAAACAAAAGCCATCACCGATGCGATTATCACTACAAACATAAATATGAAGTATTTTGACAATATTTTTAACTATTTTTTTTTTGATTTTGCAATCATTTTTTCATTAGTGATAATTTCATCGCTAAGATGATTGAGTTGTCAACAACATTGTCGGACACAATAAGACAGTGTTTCGCTGATCAAACCAAAGCCATAACCGATGCGATGATAACTGCAAACAAAGACAACAAGTATTTATTGATTTACTTAGAAGTTTGCATTAATTATTGTATATATGTTTTCAGTGATCAATTCAATGCAAAACTGATGGACAGTTTAAAAGAATGCTTTGCAAACCAAACAACATTTATTACCAATGAGTTGATAGTTAGAGACAAGTATTTGATCGATGTTTTGGTCGATTCAGAGATTGATACCCAAAGCTGTTGCGATCAATCAATTGGCCAACTCGTGGATGATATCATCGATGATAACAATAGCGATAAAACAACTGTTACTCAATCGACGTCCGAATTAGTAAACTTAGTGTAAGTCTTATCCTTAAGAATTTTGTTTTATTTTAATAATTACCGGTATTTTACCCAAAACTGTGACAAACAATCAATTGGCCAACTCGTTGATGATAACGACAATAGCGACAAAACAATTGTCACTAAATCTGTGTCCGAATCAACGAACTCAGTGTAAGATATGATCAGAAATGAATTGAATAAAATGAATTGTTATTTTTTTAAATAGTGATATAAATGATACAAATGCTTGTCTTCTTAATCAATTGACGTCAATTGCGGATGAAAAGGATCGAGTGATTGACCAATTGATGAAAATGAAAACAATAATCGACGAAAAGGATAACTTAATTAAGACTTTGACGAAAGACATGAAATTAAATCTTAATATCAATGATATGTAGAAAACTATTGGTTTTTTAATGATAATTAATAATTTCTAGAAATTATTATAAATTTTTTGATTTACGATATGGTAATTATTTTTGTATATCATTTGATTTACGGTATTCCGTTATTTTGTATAACATTTTCCAGTAAGTAATTATTAATCATTTATAATTGTGTTTTTAATACAGTATTATACTCTATTATTTACCGTAAGTTATATTTTTTTAATTCAGACATTTTTTGTATTCTTATAATCAAAATATTTAATTTTAACAATTTTTTAATTTCATTATAATTATTTAAACAATATTATCTAATTTTAATTATTGCAAACATATAAACAAACATTTTAAGGGCACATTTGAATGTAAAACACTTTTTTACTTATAAGTTTGAATTGTTTATTTAAAGTCAAGCCCAATGATTACAATAAAACATACATTATTTGCATTTCCACTAAAGTTGTTTTATTTGTAATTATTTTGATATACTTTTATTATTAAAATTATTAACCCTTTATTAATATTTATAATTTGGTTAATTATAAGCATAAAATAAATATTTAATTTTTTTCAAAGTTATTCAAATTAATTTTAATAAGTATTAAAACTTTGTTTTATTTGATCGTTTTTTATTGTTATTGATATAAACTTTTATGTGAATGTGCAGCACATGTATGATTGTAGTCAATGTTTTATTGGCTTTGAAATTAACGACACATTAATAAAAAAAAAGTGATTGAATTTGTTTTACACATAAAAGCATTGATTGACTGATTGATTGACACAACACTATACTGTTTGGCATACATTGTATTGCCATACGATTGGACACAATAACTATCACCACAAATACATACATCACTCAAGACATTACACACGAAGACCCTTATCGACAGATACGACAACAACAAGAATGTCTTGTTGTGAGTGTTTAAAGAAATCGTGTGACAATTTGTTGTGTCAGATATCACCGGAACTGATCGACTGTAAGTACAGTAAAGACAAGTGTTTGCAATACAACTATTGTCGTCACACAAGTCTGGTTGCCGTCAAAGATATATTCACAGAGTTTATCGACAATTATGACTATAATAGTGAAGATATTCAGTTAGAGTTACGCGATGTCTCCAATTATGACAATAAATGGTATAATAAATACCACTTCTTTGATTTTAGTCGATATACTCACAAACATAAACTGGAAATCAGAGCAACTTTGGTGACTATTAGTGTATCGTTGGTCACAACACAGCCATCGGCTAAACTGATTAAGTATAGAATATATCCGTTAAAGACACCGACAATTGGACAGTTGAAACAAATGTTGGCCATTGAGTACATGTTTGCCGCCGAATCGGTTTCATTGTATTTGTCCGATACTGACCAACATCTTAGTAATCGTCAACTCAGTGATGATATGGCCGTCAAAAATGCCTGGTTTTACCCACACTTTAATCGCAGTGTAATCAATGTTATACCAAATGGTATCTTCAACTTTGTTAACAACTCTATCAGTCAATCAAAGTATGATTTAAATCAATACAAAAATTTAGATTTTGATTATCTGTTTATTCTTCTTCTTCTACTACTTCAGTGATCTTATTCTCTCAAAGTTGACAACTCTGTCGATGACTAATGAAAAATTGTTGGCAAACCATACAAAACTGATTACTGATTCACTTATCACTGCAATCAACGCCAATAAGTAAAAAACAATTTTAATTTTAAAGACAATAATAATTATAACTAAACTAAACTATTTTGTTTGTTTGAAATTATAATAATATATTTTTATACCTATTTTTATCAGTGATATAATTATCGCTAAACAGACAAAGACTATCAATGAATGCTATGAAAAAAATATCAAAAACATTATCGATTCAGTGATTAATGCAAACAAAAATATTGAGTATATTTTTTGATGATTATCTAAAAATTCTTGATATTCATAATTATTTGTTGTTTTATTAGTGATATAATGGCCATTAAGATGATTGAATTGTCAACACAATTGTCGGATAATATGAAAAAGTGTTTTGAAAATCAAACCAAAACCATCATTGAATACAAAGATAACAAGTATTTGTTAATTTACATAAAAATTTTGCATTAATTTCTTGTTTTTTGTTTTTCAGTGATCTAATCAATTCAGAACTGATAGACTGTTTAAAGGGTTTTTTAATAAACCAAACAAAAGTTATTACTAATTATTTGACCGATATTTTAGTCGATTCAGAAACTGATACACAAAACTGTGACAAACAATCAGTTGGCCAACTCGTTGATCATAAAGACAATAACAACAAAACAACTGTCACTAAATCTGTGTTCAAATCAACGAATTCAGTGTAAGATATAATCAGAAATGAATTGAATAAAATTAATTGTTATTTTTTAAAAATAGTGTTACAAATGATACAAATGCTTGTTTTCTCAGTCAAATGACACAAATTGTGAATGAAAAAGACAGATTGATTGACCAATTGATGAAAATGAAGACAATAATCGACGAAAAGGATAACTTAATTAAGTCTTTGACCGAAGAGATTAGCGGTAAATTAAAAACTTAATATCAATGATATGTAAAAAACTATTGATTTTAATGATAAATAATATTTTCTAGAAATTATAACATTATTTGTTGTAGTATAAAACTTGTATATCATTTGATTCAATTAACAATTATTTATAATTGTTTTATTTGACAAATTTGATGATTTCTTTGTTTAAATTTTTTTAGCTTTAAATATCAGATATCAAAGATATGTAGAAAATTATTTTTTTTGTGTGACAAATAATATTTTATTTTAATTACCGGTAATAATAAAACTTTTGTGTTTACAGTAATTACCGGTAATAATATTTTATCTAACATTTATCTGTAATTGAATATTACGGTAATCTTTATAATAACTATTGTGTTAATTAAGATTATATCATATTATATAATTTAGATGTTTTTGTTTACGGGTAAAAGTAATACAGTTTTACAATTTGTTAATTATATTATAATTATTGTGTACTAATTTATTTAACTAATTTACATAAAAGTTTGGATCGTCTTTAATGTTTAATTAAAAATGATGTCTAAAATGAAATTATTTTGTATTTTTGTTGTTTATAAAATAAATATTTAATTTATGTTATAAATTAATTTTAAAAAGTAAAATTTTATGGGTTTTATATTATTATTTTATTTATGTGAATGTGCAGCATATGTACGATTTTGAAAAGTTACGCAATAAAAAGTACAGGTAAATAATCTATAATTATTTATTAAATATAAATTACAAATATTTAATCAAAATACAGATGCATTTTTATTTATTTTTCTTAATTACACAATAAAATTATTATATTTTTAAAAAATTATTAAATTGCAAGTTAATAGTGTACATGAAATTTTACAAAAAAAAAATAAATTTTTAATTACTCAATATGTTTTATACTGTAATAAATTTATAGTAGTATAATATCATAAAAATTTATTAATTTTATTACAGAGTTCGTACATTCATTTAAATTGATAATTAAAAAAAAATCCATTAATTATTATACTTTAATATTATAAATTATATACATGTTATTTTTATTTTGTTAATTAGCATTTTACTGGTTTTTTTACAAAAAAAAAAATTAAATATTTTTCTATAATTTAAATGTTACAGATTTGTAATTTAATTTTGAAGGGATGTTGAACTTGTAAACGGGCACCGGGTCTATGTATGGAATATCATTTTTGCTACCGAAGCTATTAATTGTATCCTATGAGAAAATTAAAGTATTTTTTTAAAAAAAAATCTACATATAATATTTATTAATATTTTTAAAAATATATTAATTAGTTATTAGTATTGAACATTTATAAATATCTACAAAATAGTTGAGTAAAAAATACTTACATTATTTAAAATAAAAACTTTAAATCCGATGAATAGTGCAATGCATAGATAAATCATTATTATTTTCTAATATATATTTATTTAACAGTTAAAATAATGTATATTATAAAATTTTACTAAATTTTAGTCAAAATATTATTCAATATTAATATACAGAATAAAATTTTATTTTATTCAACTAAATCATTACAAAACAAACTAATAATTTATTTTCAAAAGTAATGTCTGTGTCTTATATCTATAAAGTCAAATAACAAATTATTAAATAATTAAATAGCTATGTAATAGTTAAATAGACATATGACTGGCAAAAAATTAAATAAATTAATATTAATATTTTTATTATATCATTCCTTGATTAACATTTGTTTGAAACGTGGTTTTAAACACATACTACTATACAGTATATATTTATATACTACTCTATGGGAAAATAAATTTATTAATTATAATATCTTTTTATTTAACTATAAAATATCAGATGATGCTATTGTAACTATCAGGAGATCAAATATAATAATATTTAAAAAAAAATATTGCAAACATTTGTTTTAAACATTAAAAACATCTTTATTATTAATTAGTTTGAATAATATTAAAAAATAATTTTTTTATTTACATAAAAATATTGGAAAAATTGAATTTGTCTTTTTTTATGTACGTCATGCTTAAAAATTACGAAACAAAAAATTAATATTTTTTTTATTAATTTATACAATTTATTACTAAAATCTATAAACAAAAATTGATTATATGTTTATACATTATAGCAATTATGTATCTAAAATAATTAATGATATTATTAATACACAAAAAATCATAAATTAATTTGTTAGAGATTTCATAATCAAATGTGTGACTTGAATGTCATTAGTTTGTTGTTTTTTAACAACAAATATGACAGACAAATGTTTGGATTAAAAATTTATTAGTTTTAAACAAACAATTTACATAATTGAAAATAAAAATATATTTTTTTCAGAAATAAAAACAAATCGATAGAAAATCATATCAGTAGATAAACAACAAATTATTGTATTTAAATTAAATTAATTTTTCCAAATAAAAATATAGTTTATAGAAGTTTCTAAAATAAATTATATTTATATTATGTCAATAATTCATTAACAATAAAAACATTTGCATTGTTTTTGATATTTAATTTAAAAAAAAAATCTGTTATAATTTAATTACAAAAATAAAATCATTGAAAATATTTTCCCCAAAATTCATTGCAAACCCTATTGAATGGATTATCTAATATCTTCTTGAAATTATTTGGATTAATATCTTTAATTTTTGGTGTTATCGGATCGGCTAATAGTTTTGGCCATTTATCAGCACTGGTAGGTATACTGGATCATTAAATATAAAACATTTAAAGTTATATATATTTATATATTTAAAAAAAACAAAAATATTATTTCAATAACTATAATACCCAGTCTTAACAAAGTTGATCCAATAGGACATTACTTCACGACTCAATTGTTGATCAATTTTGGGACCCGAACTGACCAGTGGTCGACCAAAAACAAACTCCAGTTCGGCGCCGTGACAGACACCCTGACAATGCTTTGACATACCGGCGCTCTGATAAGTCAACTCATAGAAGTAGACGTTTCGGCCAGCAGTTGAATGTTCGGCGAAACCTTTGGCCAACAAATATGTCGGACACTTCATGAAGACGTCACCGTAAAACTCAGTGAACGCCCAGTGAACAGCTTCTGGATCTGATGTGTTGACACCATTCAGATAAAACTCTTTGATCCGATTGATGTCCAACTCGTGAAACGTGTGATTAGCATTAGTCACTTGTTTGACAAATACCTGTTCCGTATATTTTTCCGATGTTTTCGGCGCCAAATTGGATCCTTCATTGCGATTACAACCGGCTATTATGTCGACGTCTGTAATTAAATCACAGTTTTTTACGTGAAAAAATTCAATCATTGATTTTTTTAAATAAATATTTTATAAAAACAAAAAATTAGTTTATTATAATTTAGACACAAAAGTATATATATATTATAGTATCTATAACTATTTTTTTTGCTTAATTAATATACAAAACACACGATAACATACCTGTGTTGTACTTATGTTGTTTTATGGCCTCCTGTGCCGTCAACGGTAGAAACTCTGTGCCATCCAATGGAAACAAACCGGGATATGGATATTGATTAATAAGCTTTGAGTCTACTTTACGCAAACAGTCCACCCATTTGTTAGACCGGTTGACTGCTTCCTGATTGCTATCAACCGTACAATTAAAATGTTTGGCCATCTTTTCACTGGCACTTAACGCACTTTCCGTATTAACCAAACCACCGCCTTTTAGATTGTGATAATCAGCGCCCGATTGTAGGATAGCTCTCCGGAACATTCCTTTAGTCAGTGGCGACAATACCAGTGCCGATACCGACCAACTGCCGGCGCTCTCACCAAATATTGTAATCATATCTTTATTTCCGCCAAACAAATGGATGTTTTCGCGCATCTAATAAATAGGACAAAAGTTTAAAAAAACTAATTATAATACAAATCCTGTTATAAAAATATTATTACATTAAAAATTATTATTAAACTACTAAACGTTTTAGTATACTAACCCATTTAAGTCCCAACACTTGATCATAGAGTCCCATATTTCCGGGCACATCACTGTCCTGTCCCGCATAGATAAATCCAAAAGCCCTGAGTCGGTAGTTAACTGACACAACTACAACATCGTCGGTGGCCAATGCCTTGGCATCGTTAGCGCCAGAAAATATAGATCCGGAGCCATAGCCGCCACCATAGATCCAAAACATTACTGGTTTCAATTGTGTCATGTTTTCTGGCGCCCATATGTTGATGAACAGGCAGTCTTCGGACATTTGTCCGGTGCCGCCTTGCATACATGAGCTCTTTGATTTGGTGGCATCAATAATACCCTGTGTTTAATATAGTAAATTAGGTTAGTTATTTTAGGACGGTTAGGTTATATTACTTACGGGAAATGGTTTTGTCAATGGTTTAGGTCTAGCAAATCGTAGACTACCTACTGGTGGCTCAGCATATGGTATACCTATGAAAGTATTGAGCCGTTTGTCGAGCACTTGTATCTGTTGTCCTCTTACTGTACCTGAGCTGGTCTTCACATCAATGGATTTAGCATTAAAAACATTGACAGTTAAGACCAAACAAAAATATATAATAAAATTTGACATTTTTTTTATCACAATATAATTAATACAAAAAATACTGTTTAAAAATATTTAATTGAATATTTTTAATATTTATACATTTATAATTATAGTTATACTTAAAATATTTATTTATATATAACTTTTTAAAAAAATTATCAACTAACATTTTAATTGGGTACATTATTGTATAATTGATAATAATATTGATATGTATTAATTATATACACTGTACAATATATGGGAATTTAGCAGGGTAGTTAGAAAATAAAAGGTTAAAATGCGCAATCAAATTATATCTTAATAAGTAGTATTATTTTAATTAAATTGCCCGTACTTAATATATATATATATATATATATAATATACAATATATTATTTTTATTTAATAAACGAGTTTATAATTAATTTATATTTTGTTATCTAGTATACTTTTTTATATTATAGTAATCAATTAAAGTTTTGAATTATTATTAATTTAAAAAAGAAACATTTAATTGCATTTTTTAACTGTCTATATTTTAATATTATAGTTACTAAAGTAAAAAAAACCTTGATATTTATATTGATATTGCAAAAATTATTACTTAATTAGCTAAAATTAATTCATATTTGATTAGTATTGTATATTTATTTATAATTATTATTAGCATTATTATTGAACTTCATTAAACTTATTGATAATTATTGTTAAACTGACCAGTAATATTTAATAATTAGCAATAATCATTGAATATTTTTAAAAATTTATTTATATTACTTATTAACTTAATTATAATAAGTTTATTATATATATAATATATTTAAGTTGTAAATTTTTATGTTAAAAATTATATTATAACTAAAACTTTACTGTTAAATAATATACAAAATCAATTATACCTGTATATTATAATTTAAATCTAATTTTTAAATTGATATAAAGCTGAATATTAAAACTATAATTTTTTATAATTTTTAACTTAAGAATTTACAACTAAATATTTTTAATTTATAATAAACTTTTTATAATTAAGTTAATAAGTAATATAAATATATTGAAGAAAATATTCAAGTATGAAACTGGTCAATTTAGCAATAATTATCAATAAGTTTAATAAAGTTCAATTATAATGCTTAAAAATAATTGTAAATAAATATACTATACTAATTGAAAATTAATTAATGTTAGTTAATTAAGGTAATTATTTTTACAATATCAATAAAAAATGTCTAGGTTTTTGACTTTACTAACTTTAATATTAAAATATGTTGTTAAACTTATAATACAAGTACAGTATATAATACCTTTAAATAGTTTTATTTTGATATTATTTTTTAAAATATGTACAGTATTTAAATATTGATAAAGTAAAACATCACTTTATTTAAAAATTATTTCAACTGTTTGATAATATCTAAATATTAACATTAAAAAATAACTTTGTAAACTAGTTAATATTATCTTAGATTATATAATATTAAATATAATAAAATGCTTAAAAATAATAAACTAATCCCATCATCATTGAGGGTGCCGTTAGCCGCACACCAGTTGTATAAAATTGGATTAATTTTATCCAAACAAAACACTTGTATTACTAGACATCGGATCAATCATCCAATAGTAGTTTTGGCTATATTTTGTTATTTCCTAATTGTGTTTTCAATACTTTTAGTAAATAATGGTCAAAACGAGACAATTGTCATATTGTTTGGTGATTTTGCACAAATCTCAGGTTTTGGTTCAATATTTCATTTAATGGGTATTTGTTGGGCAATACAATGTATTGGCACTCAATTGATATATTATTACAACCATTTCACTGGTATTTCGCCGACATTTATGTCAGTATTTGATATGATGTCTGGATTGCGGACACCCCGTAGTGTTGGTCTCATTAACACTGAAGACATTATTAAATTACATAAAATAGCAAAATTTATGTTTAAAAATATAACATTTATTATTAATATTGGAGTAATTATAGGAGGAGCCTGTCCATTTCATATAATTATTTACTATATATAATATTACTTTATTAACCATAGCGTCAAGTATTATAAATTCTATATTATTTAGTTTATCATTATATTATTTATATAGTATTAATTTATGGCAATTATATTATTTTTATTTATTATATTATTACATAAAATTGCGTATAAAATCATTTAATGAAAAACACATGAATAGTAAACGTCAACTAAATTATCGAAATATATTAAATACATTAAAGTCATTGAATATACTTTGCAATGATATTAATGTTTATAATACAACTTATTGGTCCAAATATTTGCTAATAGTTTAGTTTAATTTAGGGTCAATTTTGGTATTATTTATATTTAGTTTTACATTTATTAATTCAAGTATTATATTTAAAATATTATTTTTATTTGTTTCTATAATTGTATTTTTTCTATTCAATACTTTTATATTTATACCATCATTAATTAATAACAATATATTTAAATTACATAAATATTTTAACAAATTAAATTTGTATGGATTTTAAAAAATATTGTAAATAGAATTTAATTGATATTGACTAAATTATTAAATCTAAATATTTTTAAAAATAATTTATATTATTAATTGTAAAGTTTTTAATTTTTAATTTAAGTAATAATAATACTGATAATATTTAGTATAATTTTTGTATAATTATATAAGTAAATTTTAATTAAAAATACTTGAAATAAAACTTCGTATCAAATTATATTATAATAAAACTCTAGATATAATTAATACTTTAATTATAGTAAATATAGTAAAAATGTATATTTATTTAATATTTATTTCTATTATATTTCTTTTAAGTATATTAGACATTAAATTAAAAATATCTATTTAATGTTATAACCGATATCTTTGCAATAAATAATGAACTTTATTTAATTAACAATTAATTAAAAATTAAATTAATGTTTATATTATAATATGACATACTTCAATGACATATTATAATATTATAAGTTCAATGATAACTTGAAATAAGTTGAATAAACATTAATATTATAGTAATAATAATAATATTAATAGATAGATAAAATAAATATTCAATTATATTATATAACTATCATAAGTATTATTAAATTAATTGTAAATAAGTATAGACTCATTTAAAATAACATGATATAAATAGAAAATAAATTATTAATATTATTAATATATAATAATTTTTTATAACACATTGTTATTTAAACAACTAATATACAGGTTTATAATATTATTATTTTCTAACAAAGTTAATTAATAAAAAAATAAATATAATTAATTTTTAATTAAAAATATTGAAATTAATATTTATTTTATAGGTATTGTTTTTATTAACATTATAAAATACATCAGACATAGCTATGTCTAAGTTATTAATTGTAAATTAAAAAAATAAAAGTAATTGATGTAAAATAATCTATATTGGTTAGCATTGCTTAATAAACAATTGTAAATAATTTATCTAGTGTATTTATTTTGTAATTGACAATATTAAATATGTTATTAATAGTTATAACTATTTTAAAACTTAAATTTTGTCCAATAATCTTGTTTAGATTTTTATTTAACTATTAATAGATTTTAAATATTAAACAAACTTTTAAAAAATTAAAAAATTATAATGTAAATAAGAAAAATACTAAAATAAATATAAAAAATAATTTGTTAATACTTAATAATTATTTTTAAAACATTTAATTGAATTTATTTTTATTTTATAATAACAAAATTCAATCATTTTTTTTAATCACTTTCTTATATAGGTATTATAAATATTGTAAAACTAATTATATTTGTAATGAAAAATGTATTAAAATAATTATAATTTAAAATTAACATATAATTTACAGACAGACAACCAGAATAAACAGATTGTATTATATTTATTATTAATCTTAATGAATAATAATAATAATACTCTAAAAATAGTTAATATTTTTAATATTTGTGTTTATTGTTTGTATTGTACTTTTATTTAATTAATAACTTTATTTTAATATTTTAAATAATTAAGCAATATAAATATTATTTATTATATGTTAGTAATGTAATTTATATAATAATTTGTTTAATTTTATTTATATTTTTTATATTTTATACTTATTCTAATTATATCGAAATTTGTTTTGTTTATAAGTTTAAAATTTAAAATAAATTTATTTTGTTTTGTTTATAGTAATTATTATATATACAGTAATATAAAATTTAGGTTTGTTTTTGCTACTAATGTTTATTGTAATACTTTATTTTTTATTGAAAAAAACTTTATTAATAAATATATTATCTTATACTATGAAATTAATGTTATTAATGCATATCATTATTTAAAAAACCAGAATATGCCGATATTCTTTACAAACAATAATTATAATCATAAATTATATTTTTATTTAAACAATATACTGTATTAATTAAAACATTATATATATTGAGTTATACTTTATTAGATGCTAAAATCAATAATAAATATTATATCAATAGTATAATGTATATAATAAAAATGTTATTTAAATGTTAAAATAGTTGGAAATAATAAGATATTATTAAAATAATTTCATTAAATACATTTTGCTATAATAGTAAAGCAAATATTATTTCTTATTAAACAAAATATTTATTATAAAGTTATAATATACAGTATTATATTATACCAGTAATACAAATTTAATTAAATAAAATTAAAAAATATAAATTATATTTAAATATTAATAATTATAATTGTTTAATAAGTTAATAAAAATGATATTAATAATAGCAAATAATTATCATTAAAATTAGTTTTAATTAAATTTTAGTGAACTTATAATTCTATATATAGATATTCTATATATATATAAATCTAACTTACCATGACACAATACTAATACAGTATCTGATCATTAAATGAAATAATAGTTAATTAACATCAAGCAATAGTTAATACTGTATTAAAATGCCTGTAACATACAATAAATAATATACATTATATATTATATAAGTTGTTTAATAAACAAAATTATTATTTAAATTATATATCAATATTTACAGTATTTTGTTTCTAATGTGTTATACATTATTAGAAAATAATATAATGAATAATATTATTATTTAAATTATATATCAATATTTACAGAATTATTGTTTCTATTGTGTTATACATTATTTATTAAATAATATAATAAATTTTTAATATAACGTTAACAATAAATTTTTAAAAGATATTTTAATATAATAAAAATAAACAAATATAATTAAAAATGATTACAATTAATAAACTAATCCCATCATCACTGCGGGTGCCGTTAGCCGCACACCAGTTGTATAAAATTGGTTTAATTATATCCAAACCAAACACTGGTATTACTAGACATCGGATCAATCATCCAATTGCTATGACGGCTATATTTTGCTATTATTTAATCATTTATTCAATACTTTTAGTAAATAATGGCCGAAATGAGACAATTGTTATATTATTTGCCGATTTTTCGCAAATTTTAAGATTTGGTGTTACATATCATTTAATTGTTATTTGTTGGACATTACAATGTATTGGCACTCAATTGATATACTATTACAACCATTTATGTGGTATTTCGCCGACATTTATGTCAGTGTTTGATATGATGTCTGGTTTGCGGACACCTCTTAGTGTTGGTCTCACTGAAAGTGAATCTGTTGTTAAATTACTTAAAATAACAAAATTTATAATCAAATATATAAATTATATTACTATTACTGCAATATTTTCTGCAATAACAGCAATATTGCATTTATTTAGTTATTACGATATATCATTATTAACATTAATTGCATGTTTTATAAATTGTTTATTATTTAGCTTTTTAATGTACTATTCATATAATGTTGAATTATGGCAATTATTTTATTTTTATTTATTAAGTTATTATATAAAATTGAGAATTAAAACATTTAAAGAGAAACATATGGATAGTAAACGTCAAATAAATACTAGAAATATATTAAATACATTGAAAACCTTAACTAGACTTTGCTATGATATTAATGATTATAATACTAGTTATTTGTCTAAATATTTATTAATTATTTGGTTTAATTTGGGTGCAATTTTGATATTATTTTTATATATTACTATATTTATTAATACTACTATAATTTTGAAAATATTTTTAATAATAACTTCTATAGTTGTGTTTAATCTTTATAATATTTTTATCTTTACATCATCATCAATTAATAACAATATATTTAAATTACTGATAGTGTGATCTCTTCTTGTCGCATAAAATATTTTTAAAAGTAATTTTATTTTTGTAATAGTCCTAGCAATGTTTTTAAATTTATTTTTTGATAAAATATAACATAGATTATTGGTCTTTAAGTATGCTAAGAAATATTTGTTATATCACTTTAAATGGATCCGTTACACTGCTTAAACTCTCATGACATTCAGATAAGATTTGTGATAAAATTTGAATATTGTCCCAAAACTAATCCATCGATGGCGGTAATAAATATTAGTGATGTCTATCTTAAAGCCGTTAATAAAATGATTAGTCACCTTTAATGAAAGTTATGAAAAGAAAACGGTGTTGACGTGGGAAACAATAAAGCGCGGGAAAATCATCAAAGATTCAAAACGAAAAATAAAAACTATTAGTGGTGATAAATCTTAAGTTTTTCTAAAAATAAATTCGATTAATATCCGGCTATGATATATAAACTATTAAAAGGAATTTAGTCTAAATTGACATAGGATATTTGTAATTAAGTTAATTACATTATGATTTCACTCCTAAACAATAGGCAAAGTTGATAAAAATTTGCCAATATTTTGTTTACAATTAAAATTTGACGGATTTGTATGATGTATTAAAACCGTTGATGAATCATTGTATTGACCAGATATTGCTTTGTCAGATTAGTATTTGTTTCGATCAATGTAACACTTCCTAGGCGGCAAATAAATCGAAAATCGAGAAGAAGTCAAAATGGGAAACGAAGAGTTTTTCGATTTATAACAGAAAAAGTTGCAGGCCGAAAAATTTGAAAAATTGCTGAATAAATTTTAAGATGTTATTGAAGTTAATAGATATTATATCATTGATTATTTAAAATTAACTTTTTAATAAAATCAAATTTAAAATTTGCTATTTTTTGCGACATCATGAGATCACAACATCAGTAGATAAGTTTGTTTTTAATTTATATTTGAATTTTAATAATTTAAATTAAAAATAATTATGAAATATTATGACTTCTATACCATTAATTATTTTATGTATATTATAAATTATAATTTATAATATTTAAATATTTTTATTATAAATAAAAATAATAAAGACTACTTTAATCATATGTATTATTATTTAGTACACTTATTTAATTAATATATAGATTGATATTTACATGACTTATCAATTTTATTGCAATATTTGTCGATTAGTTTATGGCTTATCACTAGTGTATTGATTAATAATTTTTTATACTCTACTAAATAGTTGTTATAATAGTTGCTAAAAAAAGTCAAATAGTTTTTAAAATAGTTATTTAAACTGTATTAAATAGTTGTATATAGTTGCTAAAAAAGCCTAATAGTTATTGAAATAGTTATTTATTTTTTTATAAATATTTCAACTGATATATAATTCATTTGTTTTCAGCATATTTACAAAAATGATTTATATAAATAAACTAATTATTCTATTGTTAAAAAAGTAATATGAGTTGATAACAGTTTACACATTTTATATAATTTATATAACTATTACTTTTTGTTTTTACATATATTTGTGCTTAATTTTACAATTTAATGCTTATATTTTTCAAAATAACTGAAATAGTTATTTATAAGTTTTTATAGTTTCTAACCCAACAAATAGTTATTTATAGTTATAATAAAATTTCGGAAATAGCGTCCACTGGTCAACTTCGGTGGACATACTAAGTCCCAGTTATAAGCGTTGAACTGACAAAATAATTTTTTTAGTTGGAAATCAAGACACTACTTATCACACAATGTTTTTAAAACTCAAATAAAACCGTAAATATTGGGATAAAAGTTAAACAGCACTACTAAAGCTACACAATGTAGACATAAAGTACAATAAATTATAATACAATTTACTTAGAAAGTAAGCACTGGTAGTGTATTAATATCGCTAAGGCGTCATTCACATATTACGTTCGCACTTTTTAAGAAATCTAGACCCCTCCCTCCCCTATGTTCGCATTTGTTCGCATGTAATCATTTTAAAAAATTACGTTCTCATGTCCCTAACCGCTACCCTCCCCTCACCCACAAGAAATAAAATATCTAAATGCGAACGTTCTTAAAGACTATGCCCCTCCCCTCCCTCTCGTTCGCAAAAGTTCGCTTTGGCCAACCCCCCCCTCCACCTCAAGTGCGAACGTAATATGTGAACTACGCCTAATATATTATCATTGTTATGATATTTAAAATGAAAATTCAAATAAAACACGTTTTGTAAACATTTTAATAAATACTTTCAAACTTTACTGATATAAGGGTCATATCATATGATACTGTTGTCGAAACTCTATGAATCTCTCTCTCTCTCTCTCTCTCTCTTTCATTCATTCAAATCAATAGTTGAAAAGTCATATACTGTAATAACTTTAGTGCAGTACTAATTAAACTCTGGCACCAGTAGTCTATGGCTATTATTTTAATTTCTAAAAATCAAATTTATTTATTCATTTTGTTGATAATCACACAAATATGTCATCGCAATCATCATCATTATCATGTGCTGACCGTTTGATTAAATGGTTGTTTACCACTAAAATCAATCGTCAATTGAAACAATTATATCGTTTGAAATGTTTGGCTAACAGTGTTGACAATCATTTACAAAGTTTGCTGAATACTAATTGTCATCAAGTTTTATGTGAAGCAATTGATTGTGAAAATAGTTTGAATTTAATAACAAATGATTGTTTGTTAATGAAAATTATAGTTAAAGACAATAATAATAATAATAATAATAATTGTAATAAAGATAGTAATAAAACTGTGACTGAAAAAAGTGATATTAATTACAACACTGATAATCATTTACATTATCAACTCAATAGAGATACTAATATTATTAATAGTAATGAAAATAATAATCAATTTGAATGTCATTACTATGATTGTTATCAATGTTTTGCAAGTAGTGATCAATTAGCTAATCATATTAAATATAAACATATTGCTAAACTATTTTTGGGATATCAATCAAATTAAATTAAATATATTAAATTTGTATTGTTTTTTAAAAATTATTAAATTATAATTTGTTTTCCAATAAAACACAATAATAGTTGAAGTTAAAAGTAAAAGTTAAAATGTTTTTTGTTGTAAATATTTCCGTAATAGTAATATCATAATATTAATATCCACAATTTTTGTTAATTATTTATTGATTTTTTATTGGATAATTATTTGAAGATTAAATACATATTATCAAATAAATTGAAAAAAAACAAAAATCTAATATTTTTCACCAAAAAAACATTATTATTAATTTTGACTAATAAAACACTAAATCTAATCTATTAATAGAAAATTTATTATAATATAGTGAACAGAATCTGTGTGTTTGTATATTAGCTCCGGGAGTTTAGCCGAGGGTTTGTTTGTCGAACAGGTACTCTCCGAGTCCGGTGCCGACACGTTTCAAATTAGTTAAATGATCGCCCAGTTTCTTGATATCATCTACCTGTTCGTGCAGGAACTCCGATTCAATGAAATCGGTGAATTCTGCATCATTAGTACGGGCGCCGATAGCCTGCAAGTCCAACAGTGACTGATTGACTGTCTTTTCCAAATCGAGTGATGCCTCGATGGCCGACTGCGGTGTCCAGCCATCCTGTTTGACCGGTCTGGCAATATCCTGGAGCACAATACGACCGCCCCGTTTGTTTTGGTAGTCCATAAACTTTCTGGCATGACTACGTTCCTCATCGGCGCGAGACTTGAAAAACCCGTGGAAACCTTCCAGTGCTATGTCATCGCGATTGAAATACCAGGCCTGGATAACAAACGTGTTGAGAGGATAGAGGATAGGTATGATTTTTAGTTACGGTATTAATATAATATTGTTTTTTTTAAATGAATATTTTGTTTAACAACAGATATGACATACCAATTGTTCGTAAACATAGCTGGCGTGTAGTTCCAGATTGATTTGTTTGTTGACACCGGCTTCTGTATCTTGATGATAATTTTGGCGAACCTGACTAACTGTGCTCGACATACTGATCCACTTATTATATTGTTTTTAATAGAAAAAAAACAAGTACTTAAAATCAAATAATTATAAACAACAACAAAAATCAATTGTAATTAATAAATTGACTTTTTTTTATTAAATATAAAGGTATAAAACGTTTCTTTTTAAAAATAAATTAAATTCAACAAAATAAATATCAGTGTTAGAAAAAATAATTATTATTTTTTTAAATAATGAAAATATGAGACAAATTTTTTAAAATTATTCTGATGTCCGATCAAACACTGTTGACGCTTAAACACCTGAATATTGTATGACTTTCCAAACTACACAAACTACATGTCCTTATATACACTAATTATAGAAAATCTAGAAAAAATAATATCAGCAAAAAAAACTAACAACAAGTGTCTCGGTTTACACAAACACACACATGTAGTATAACAGTGCAATTGAGATCATATCATATAATATTGATAAAAAACTACTGCATATATGATATCTACAATATTATTATTATATATTAATTTATTAAAAAAATGATATTCAATATTTGTCAGATACTTGATTATCATTGTGTGCCTATAAACTAATAATCAAAAACAAAAATGACATAATGATATTTTTTAATTGGTTAACATTTGGCTAAATTTGCACTGCACTGCAATTTATTAAAATAAAACAAAAAATCTGTCAAATTATTATTTAAAATAACAGTGCATTAAGTAATACATTTACATTTACTAAATGTTTTGTATCTAATACTGTAAGTTATTTACTACATTGCATAGAATTCAACCGGTGCTTACAATTAATTAATTAATTATTAATAATAATTGTTTTTGATTGTGAAGGACAATGTTAGCTACAATCGATAATATCAATAAATTTTTGTTAAAAAAATAGATTATTTGTTTTGTGTATAGTTATGACTATGTATTTGTGCTTATATTGTATGTGTTTGTTTGAATGCTTATTGTTATTATTGAATTACTGTTATATAATAATTGAAAAAATATATTTGTTCATATATGAATAATTTGCATATACAAAAAATAATTGTAATTGTAATTTCATTAATTTGTTGCTAATATATATAAAATATAAGTACATTATTATAATATACAATATATGCAATTAATAAAATTATTATTTATGTGTAGTCATTATTTTTAATAAAAAATTCTAATTATTTGAGTGCTTACATAAAAAAATTTAAAAACATTAGAAATAAAAATATTATTAAAAAAATATAAATTGAAGGATAAAACTAATTTTAATTATTATTTATAACTTTTAGAATAATTTTGTTTATAGATTATAATTGACACAATTAATTCACAATTTCAATGATAATTTTTTTTATAAAATATTCAAAAATTTTTAAAAAATATATAATTAGTAAGTATTTTATTATATTCTGATTATTATTTCTAAAATAAATAAATATTAATTTATTAATATTGCATAAAAAATTCTTTATTTAGTAAATCAAACAAATTATTAATAATCAAATCAATAAAATATTGATCGATAGATGATAGCACAGTAAGCTATTTAGTTAGCCCAGGGTCTTTTTGTCGAACAGGTACTCTCCGAGACCGGTGCCCACACGCTTCAAGTTAGTTATATGATCGCCCAGTTTCTTGATGTCGTCTACCTGTTCGTGCAGGAACTCCGACTCAATAAAATCGGTAAACTCTGCATCGTTAGTACGATCGCCGATAGCCTGTAAGTCCAACAGCGACTGATTGACTGTCTTTTCCAATTGAATGGACGCTTCCAGTGCCTCAACGGTTGACGACCACTCCTGTTTGGCCGGTTTGGCGATATCCTGGAGCACAATACGACCGCCTCGTTTGTTCTGGAACTCCATGAACTTACGGGAGTGATCCCGTTCCTCATCAGCACGAGCCTTGAAAAATGTATGAAAATTGTCCAGTGCTACATCATCGCGATTGAACCACCATGCCTATTTATTTTGAATAAATAAATAAAAATTAAATAATTAATAATTTCAATATGATCAGGTTTAGTTAATTTTATTATCAACCGTACCAATTGCTCGTACACATAGCTGGCGTGTAGTTCCAGATTGATTTGTTTGTTAATACCGGCTTCGGTATCATGATGGAAATTTTGACGTACCTGACTAACTAGGTTAGACATTTTCAATTTTTTATACTTGATGATTGGCAGTTTGGTAATTTATTTTATTTGACTTTGAGATTTATTAGTAATATAAATTATATATATTTTAATAATAAATATATAAATTAGTATAAATATTAAGTGTTTATTTTATTTTAAAAAAAATCAGAATAAATTATTGTCTATATGTTATAAAATTATTGTCAATTAATGTAATAATGAAAATATAAGACAATTTTTTATTTTAATTCTGATGTCCGTTCAAACACTGTTGACGCGTAAACACCTGAATACTAAATAATATGATGACTTGTAATACCTGTGCTATTAGTATTTATATACTCTACTTATTATTATACAATAATGTAGTGTTTAATACTAAACAATAGTGTACCTGTTGTTAGGTTAGTAACATGAATTGGCAATTAATTACAAAAAATACTCTCACACACACACACACACACACACACACACATAGATAGATAGATAGATAGATAGATAGATAGAGAGAGAGAGAGAGAGAGAGAGAGAGAGAGAGAGAGAGAGAGAGAGAGAGAGAGAGAGAGAGAGAGAGAGAGAGAGACTGATTTCATTTTGTATATGATATACCGTATAACAATTCAAAACAATGTCATTTTAAAAATTATATGTACAAACATTTAAAATTAATCTTAAAGTACACTAACAGGAATATTATTGAATAATTATAAAATTGACAATCAATTAAAGAGAGAGAGAGAGAGAGAGAGAGAGAGAGAGAGAGAGAGAGAGAGAGAGAGAGAGAGAGAGAGAGAGAGAGAGAGAGAGAGAGAGAGAGAGAGAGAGAGAGAGAGAGAGAGAGAGAGAGAGAGAGAGAGAGAGAGAGAGAGATTATAAGAAAATTTTTTAGTTTTAAGATAAAATTATCTACTAATATTTATAAATATAAAAATAATAATAATATTTTTTTTTTGGTAGTTGCTATCAATATAATTGTATTTATATTTGTTTAGTCATTAAAAATTGTTTAACATTATTAATATGGAATAATAAGTTTAAAAATTTTACTTTATTAGTATTTAGAAATAATTTATCAATTACAATATGAATATTTATTAGTAAATTTGTTATTGTTAAAATATTTCAAAATATATTAGAAAACATTATGAAATACTAAAAATTATTGATGATCGTTATTTATCTTTTAAAAAATATGTTTAATCATTTCAGGTAACAGGTGTTAATTTATAACTTGAAATTTCTATTTCACTAATCAATAAAAATTTTAAGTACAATAATTACAATTACAAAACTAGCAATTAAAAATATAATATTTATTTTAGTTAGTAAAACATCTAGTAATGTAATCTTAAATATATATATATTACTAAATTATATAAAAAGTGCAAACTTAAAATGTAATATGATATAAAAATAATTATTTTATAATAATTCAGATAAATAATAGATATTTTATAAATATAGATTACTATTAAGTTAGTAAAGTAATTCGATTCATATATACATAAATTGTAATATAAATTATTAAGTTATTTTAATATTTAATATAATACAAATAGTATTAATTAATTTGGTGGTTAATATATATATATGTATAAAGTTATGATAATAAATCAAATGTTTGTATGTGTATTTTTGTCATAAAGTTTTATAAATAATATTTTATAACTGTACAATTACTTTACATGAAATTTATATTGATTTTATTTAAATTATTATTAAAAACTACTAAAAATATATTGTAAACAATTTAGATTTAATTATAAAAATATCAATATAAGTTTATTTAAAAATGTTAAATTAACTAAATTTAATTTATTGTTTGTTTAAATTATATTATTTATAGTATTGAACTGTTTATTTTGTAATTAATTATATTAAAAAAATCAAATTTTTGATAGTCTACACTGTACATTAAATTTTAAACTATAATACTAAATAAATATTAAAATTATTTAACTATTAACAAATGTCTTGATAAAAAAATATAATTAATTTAAAGTATACAGTAAATTACATTAAAATACTATTAATATTATACAATATTAAAATAATTTTACTAAAATATTGATTACAATTATTGTAAAAACAATTAGATTACATTATGAGAAACATACTAAACTTAATAAAATATTTACTAATATTAGTCATAATTTTTATAACAATTATGTATTAACATTATGTATATAATAATAATTATTTATTTATAGTTAAGCATTAGAGAGAATGAAATCTTTTAAAAAAATATATTTAGTATTTACACGATATAACTATAATTATGTTTTAATATATTAAAATATTACATATTCCTAAAAAATCAATTGTTTTAAAATTGTAACAAAATTGCATATTTTGTAAACACTGATAATAATAATAACACTAGAAATAAACAAATGATTTTAAAAGTTTTACAATTTATTGATAGACTATTTGGACCTGAAATAAGATTATAATTTATGTCTAGTAATGATTTTTATTAATTTGTTTTTATAGTCGGCGTTAACTATTTTCTAATTATGGGTTTATTTTTGATAAAATTTTTAGTAACAATAAAATTAATTATAATAAAATTAGCAGATTATAAATTAAATCAATAAAAACTTTTGAAAACTATAATTAAAATCTAAACATTTATTTTTTTGCATTTCAAATATTATTGTTTTTTGCTTTATAGACTTATAATTTAGTTATTAAAATAGATATTTTTATTGAATTTTATATTATTAATGAAATATAAATATATTTCTTATGATTGTATTTTTTAAATAATCAATATAAGAAATTATATTAAATAAACTGAAATATAAATATAGAAATTTTGTTAAACAAAACAAAAATGTTTTTATAAAATAGTATAAAACAATATTTTCAATTTTATGTATTTTATTTATTTAATTATATTCTGCTTATATTTAAAGTTTTTAATAGTATGAATATTTAACTAAAACAAATTACAATACAGATATATTAGAATTAATATAATATTAATTATTTAAGTTTTTTAATAATATTCATTACATTTAGTAATAAAAAATACTGTCGCTTTTATTAATTTGTATTATTACTGATAATATTATAAAAATAAATTAATTAATCATGTTAGGAACAAATAATAATAATAATTATAATACAATTGATTCATTAAATAAAATTGAAAAATTTTATAAAAAATATTTAGTACTAACACGATATAACTATGACTATGTTATGGGTCAGCCTATTAATAGACAAACAAATATTTCAATAATTGTGTCAAAATTATTGTATATTTTAATACCGATGCGTTTTGTGTTAATTGTATTACTATCGGATAACTCGTATATTTGGTACTACCTGTGCCCGTATGTCCACTTGTTTGGCAATGAACTGTTAGCTCACTCATGGCTTATAATCATAACAATGGTCGGCTGGTCTATTGGTATGGTATTACACTATCAGGATATCAATAATGATCTGCCGATGTTGTTATGGACTGATCTTATTAAACAAAATCGCATAAAATACTCATTAAATTATATAAATAGACAAAAATTTGCAAAACGATTACATGTATTAATCAATTTTTTTATTAACAAATTATTTAAACCGTCGGTAGTTATCAATATATGTGTACACTCTATATGTAATATAATTGCTTATATGGATCCAAATGGCAAACAACAATCTGTATTAATGCTAATATTTTGGTGTTTATGTATAATTGTATTGAGTTTTCAAATCTATAGCCTCCTATGGGTTGGGGCAACATTTTGGATAGCATTTACCTATTATTTGAAACTAAAATTTCTGGAAATTAATACTAAAATTAAAGTCAGTCTCCGATCGGCTAACAATCAAATGCTTTTGCAGGCAATACGTGAACACAAATATGTTGAACTAATAACACAAGATTTTAATTATACATTTCAATATATTTTATTTATTATGTATTATATGGCAACACCTGGATTTCAAGTCATACTCTATGGTGTCCACAAACCCGACACCTCACCAATTGGACAATTATTTTATGTATTTTTGACAGCATTTTGTTTTTGTGCCGTAATTATGATGACAATTATGTGTACCCGTGTTAGCTGTTCGGCTCATAAGTCATATAAAAAATTATTTACGTATTTTGCAAACATTGATAATAATAATAATAATAACAATAGAGATAAACAAATGATGTTAAAAGTATTACAATTTATTGAGAGACTATCGGGACCTGAAATAGGACTCTATTGTTATAATTTATTTCCGATGACTAGTAATGAATTTTATCAATTTGTTTATATCTCAGGACTTAATTATATTCTAATTATGAGTTTATTTTGATAAACTGTTATCTTATTATTTATAATAAAAAAAATATTACTTAACATATTAAAAATTGAATCAAAAAAATTGCTTTGAAAATTATAAATAAAATTTATATTTTTGATTTTATTCTAAATATTATATTATAATAATGTAAATTCATTTATTACTACAATAAATTCATCATTTTATTTTTAAAATAATCAATATAGAAAATTAGAATATTAAACTTAAATGTAAATGTTAGAAAAAAAACTTAATTTTTATATGAAAAAAACACATTTATTTAATTTGATGAATTATATTTCTTTAGTTATTTTTAATAAAAATAATTAATAATTGGTTATATTTAACAATTGCAATATTATTGATTAATTAGTTTATATCCTTAAATCATAAACAAAATTATTTTATTATACAATATTATTATAATATTGATTGTGTTTTTTTTGCCTTGCACCAATGCTTGCAATTAATTATGCACCGTGATTGTTGCTACTAATATAAACTTGACATATGTATATAAATTAAATAATTCCCATGATAATTTTTTTAGTTAAACAATATTCATCAATACACTGTACTAGTAAACGTATATTGTAATTATCAGTTTTATAAATGGGCAAAATGTTTATAATCATTTACTATAATATATATATACAAATAGAGTACATAGAAATTTATTTAGTATACACAAACTAATTATTATATTTTTATATTAAAAAAAAAGTCTACAATTAATTGAATGTAAAATATTCAATAATAAAATTGTTTGCTTTGTTTTTATTAAAATATAGATTTTATCAAAAATAATCTATTATTGTGTAATACAAATGCAACAAAACAATAGTTACTAACTATAATAAACACTATTCAAATGTAATTTAAATAGAAAATAAAAAATTATTTTTTTAATCAGTAGATAAAAAATTACTAATAAATTAACATAACTTATAATTTATTTTGTTTGAAAATAAGATTATTAATATTATTAAATACTATATG